CCCGTTGGGTTTTCTAGGCCATCACCTTTTTTTTAGCCTAGAAACACACCAGATGAATATCAGTCCATTCCTAGGCCGTTTCTACAAAGTGGCCTAGAAAACCCAACTTGCAAAAGTTAGGCCACCATGTCAAAATGAGCAAAACAAAGAGAAATCAATGTCTTTTTTTCCCTACGATCTGAATGCATTTTCTAGGCCAACAATGTTGATGGCCTAGAAATCCAATTCGGCGAAAGTCAGGCCATCAAGTTTAGGCCTAGGAAATCCGAAAAATGGGTTTTCTAGGCCATCCAACTTTAGGGCCTAGAAAATGCTCAAAACGAGCTTTCTAGGCCATCAAATTAGGTGGCCTAGAAACCTCGGTAAATGAGGTAAATGAGGTTTNTAGGCCACCAGAACTAGACGGCCTAGAAACCCCTCTAAATGAGTTTTCTAGGCCACCAGACTTCATGACTTAGCTTTTTCAAAAACAAGTTTTCTAGGCCATCCAATTTGATGGCCTAGAAAATGCTCTAGGCCATAAGGTTTGGTGGCCTAGGAAACCCCACAAATGAGTTTTCTAGGCCACCAAGCTTGATGACCTAACTTTTTCGAAATCGGATTTCTAGGCCATCAAGTTCAAGCACTAGCTAGTTTCAGGTACGCAACCACTCGGTGCACCGTCTCATCGTCCGCCTCTACTGCTTCATCGGCTACTTCTTCGTCGGCGTCTGCTTCAACCAGCTGATGGTCGACATTGCGAAATACACCATCGGACGGCAACGTCCACACTTCATGGACGTGTGCAAGCCATCGGTTGGCTACGATACCTGCACCACCCCCGACGTCTACATCACCGAATTCACGTGCCGCTCGAACGACACGAAATTGGTCCACGAGGCACAGTTGTCGTTCTATTCCGGGCACTCGGCGTTCAGTTTCTATGCCGCCTGGTTCACGTCGCTCTACTTGCAGGTGAGATGAGCAATCTGAGCAATCAGAGAATAATTTGAGACGAGATTCCGGGAGGGGGGGGGGGTCAGAATGAGCCCAAATTTGGGTCTGTAGGTAGATTTTAAGCGATTTTAAGCGAGCCAGAGGCTGAAAATGGCATAAAAAATGGCAAAAAAAAATAGCTCAAATATGGCTAAAAATAGCTAAAAAGGCGGAAAAATGGGCTGAAAAATGGCTGAAAATCGAAAAAAAAATGTTTTTCTGAAAAATTCAAAAATCCATTTTTCCTGAAAAGTGGCTGAAAAACGGTTAAAAATGACTCAAAAATGGCTGAAAATGGAAAAAATTTCGAAAAAATTCAAAAAAATATTTTTTTTGAAAATTTTTTATACTTAAAAACGCCTATAATGACTGAAAATAGTCTGAAAATCGAAAAAAAAAATTTTTTTTTCAAAAATTTAAAAATCTATTTTTCCTGAAAAATGGCTGAAAATGGCATAAAAAATGGCAAAAAAAATAGCTCAAATATGGCTAAAAATGGCTAAAAAGGCGGAAAAATGGCCTAAAAGTAGCTGAAAAACGGTTTAAAATGACTCAGAAATGGCTGACAAATGGCTGAAAATTTCGAAAAATTCAAAATAAAATTATTTTTTGTTGAAAAATTTTTATACTTGAAAACAGCTATAATGACTGAAAATAGTCTGAAAATCGGAAAAAAAATTTTCAAAATTTTTATTTCAAGATCAAAATCAAACTCAAAAAATCAAAAATTCCGAAATTCGGAAATTCAGAAATTCATAAATTCAGAAATTCAGAAATTCAGAAATTCAGAAATTCAGAAGTTCAGAAATTCAGAAATTCATAAATTCAGAAATTCAGAAATTCAGAAATTCAGAAATTCAGAAATTCAGAAATTCAGAAATTCAGAAATTCAGAAGTTCAGAAATTCAGAAATTCATAAATTCAAAAAATCAAAAAAATCAAAAAATGGCCTTATCCTTAATAAGTAATCCTTCCAGGCCCGCCTCTTCCGTCCCCTGTTCTCTCGGCTCCTCCTCCCAGTGATTCAATTCCTGTTGTTCGGTGGAGCAGCCTATGTCTCACTGACCCGCGTCTCGGACTACAAACATCACTGGTCGGATGTCCTCGTTGGAGCACTAATGGGCAGTGCCATCGGAATATTTGTGGCACTGTTCGTCGCGGAAGTCTTCAAGAGACGCGAAATTCCATCGTGTGGACCGACGAATGAGTTTGGATTGATTAGGTAGGCGGGGCTTCCGAAGAGTGGGCGTGGCCAAATTTTTTTCAAAAAAATTTTTTTTTCCAGAAAATTTTTCAGAAATTTCAAAATTTTTTTAAAAATCGGAAAATCTGAAATTCTGGAATTTTTTTGAAATTTTTATGTTTCCCATTTTTTTTGAATTTTCAAATTTTTCAAAAATCTCCATCCTTAATAGCTCAAATTCCAATTTCGGCGAAAAAATTTGAAAATTCCACAAAAATCGATTTTCAGAATTATCGATTTTTTTTTTGAAAAATTCCAGAATGGACCGTCCTGATAACGGAATCTCCCATCAGCCATCCAACGGAGCCAATACCGTAGTCTCCACTCAACACGTCATCGTTTCTGAAGTCGATCCAGCCAATCAGCGACTGTAAGTGATTTTATCGATTTATCGATTTTTTGTAGATAAAAAAATTTTTTTTTTGAAAATCAATTTTTGTCGATTTTTGATCTAGAAAAAATTTTGATCTAGAAAAAATCGATAATCGATTTTTCTTCGAAAAATCTTGTCTATCTCACGCTTTGTCCGATTGTCATACTAAAAAAATTGGAATCTCGGGACCCTCTCTCTCTCTCTCTCTCTATTGCTCATCTAATCTCCTATGCACACTTCATAATTACAGTAACCCATAATTATTGATTTATTGATTTTTTGGTTTTTTTGGTTTTCGGGACTTTCAAGGGATTCTCTTTACAGGACGCACAAAAACAATGGATATTCAGAAGAGAATGTGTAAGAGAGTACGGTAGTATGGTAGAAATACAGTAATCCCAAAACAAAAAATTTGGAAAAGTTTTTTTTTGGAACTTTTTAAAAAATTTGATTTTTCAACGATTGCTCAGCTTAGTTTTTAATTTTTGAAATTTTCAAAAATTCTGAAAAAATGTCTTTTTTGAAAATTTTGAAAAAAAATATTTTTCGAATTTTCCACTAATCCATCTCTACTAATCACTTTCTTACTGTACCCACCCCACCCCAACCCACACGTTGTCCACGTCTCTCCATATCCAGCTACAGTAACCCAAACTACAAAGGATTACTGTACCCACCAGCCTACAGTAATCCCCAAAAACGAATTTTTTTTGATTTTCGCGTTTAGAGTGTCATCTAGCTCCAACTCATCACTACCGCCACCGTCCATTTTTAAATTGGGACCGCCGAAAAGTTGGGCCACACCCACTTCTGGAGTGGGGGGCGGAGCCTATTCTGGAAATAATGGCGGCGATTTCAAGACAGAGCTGCGTGTCGATCCGTGCATTGTGGTCAATATGAAATGAGCAATTTTTGGAAAATCTGAAAATTTTGAAAAATGTGTGTAGTCTTTGTGCTTTTTGTAGTCTTTTTGTAGTCTCTGGATTTTTGGTCTCGTGTGATTTTTATCCCATTTTTTGTTGTTTTTTTTTCTTGTAAATATAAGAATATTACGTTATTTTTTGAAATTTTAGAAAAATTCGAATTCCAGAAATTTCAGAAAAAATGCTGAAAATTATGAGATTTTTGAAAAATTTGATTTTCCCGCCAAAAAGTGCAAATTTTGGGATTTTTTGGAAAATTTGAATTTCCCGCCAAAAATTGCAAATTTTGGGGTTTTTTAAGAAGTTTGCTCAATTTTTTTGATATTCTGAAAAACTGAAATTTTCAGAATTTTCAGAAAAAAATCTGAAAATTTTGGGATTTTTTGAATTTCCGCCAAAAGTTATTTTCTGAAAAAACTCAAATTCTCAATTTTCGATTTTATCGAAATTCCAGAAATTTCAAAATTTTTCAAAAATCGGAAAATCTGAAATTTTGGAATTTTTTTGAAATTTTGATTTTTTCCATTTTTTTTTCGAATTTTCAAAAATTTAGGCTCCGCCCCTTTTCCATCATCTAGGCCACGCCCCCTCACTCTCACTGTTGTATAGATTCATCATTTTTCGTTTTTTTGTGATTTTTCAGCCTGTACCCATCTCCACACCACCATCACCAAAGCCAGGACGACCGTTACATGGACCATTACTAAAAAAAATCGTCTACAGTAATCCCCCCGCCCCCGAAAAATTGCCATGTTTTTTGCATTCATTTTTCTTCTGCATTGCATGTGTTTCATGTTGTTATCTTCTCTATTTTTTCTCTGGGCTCTCTTCTCTGTTTTTGCAAAAAAAAGTTTTTTTTTTGAAAATTTAAAAATTTTGAATTTCCCGCCGAAAAATTTTTTCAAAATTTTTTTTTGAAAATTCAAAATTTTTGAATTTCCCGCCAAAAAAATTTTTTTCGAAAAAAAATTTTTTTTTTTCGAAAATTCCGAAAAATCCCAAAATTTAAGCCAAAAACTGCCGCCACCGGATTCGACGAATTCTTCAGCTAACCGGCTACAAATCAATCGATTTTAGAGCAGGCTCCGCCCACTTTGATTTTTAAGCCCCGCCCACTTTTTTTTGTTGTTTTGTGTGCTTCAATCTCTCTTTGTATGTCCCACCCCGATGATGATGATCAAATATATTTTTCCGAATTTTTTAAATTGAAAAAGTCAATAAAAAATCGATATTTTGTAAGCCACGCCTACTTTAAGCCACGCCCACTTTGTGTCCATCGTTTCAGTCAGCAGCTTTTTTTAACAAAAAAATTATTTTTTGAAATTTTTGAATGGGATACGGTAGACTTAAAATTTGAAATTTTTTGAATTTTTGGAAGTTTGAAGTTTGGAAAATTTCAAAATTTCGATTTCTCAGAAATCGGACTACCGTACCCCCCCCCCCCACACTCCCCCAAGGTTTTATTTGGATTACTGTAACATCGACTTACAGTAATCCCCTACTACCCAATAATTGCTCATCCTCCTACACTCTTATCGACTACCGTAGTAATCCATCGAATCGTTTCCGACCGGACTCATTTTTGGACACATGCTCCTATTATACGGCACGGACCGATTGGGACGCGACAAGTGGGCGGAGCCTAGTTTTTGGTGGTGGCGGCTACAGTAATCCTCGAGATACGCGATTTTTGGACTTCCAATCGATCCAATCCGGACAACCATCGTGGATTTTGGAGCCGTTGACGGAAGAGGAGCATTAGAAAATTTCAGAATTTCGGAAATCCAAAAATTTAGGGATTTTGAAATTCCGAAATTCAGAAAATCAGAATCTCAGAAATTCAGAAATTCAGTAATTCAAAAATTTCAAAAATTCAGAAATTCAGAAATTCTGAAATTCTGAAATTCTGAAATTCAGAAATTCATAAATTCAGAAATTCGAAAATTCAGAAATTCAGTAATTCAAAAATTTCAAAAATTCAGAAATTCAGAAATTCTGAAATTCTGAAATTCAGAAATTCATAAATTCATAAATTCGAAAATTCAGAAATTCAGTAATTCAGAAATTCAGAAATTCAGAAATTAAGAAATTCAGAAATTCAGAAATTCAGAAACTTAAAAATTCTGAAATTCTGAATCCAAAAACTCAGAAACTCGGAAGTTCAGAAATTCAGAAAAAGGTTTTCTGATTATTAAAATTCTGATTTTTTTTGAATTTTTGGATTTTCTGAAATTTCGAAAATTCTAGACTTTTTTTGTTTTTTTTTACTTGTACTCAGGCTCCGCGACACTTCGAAACCAGTCGTTTCAAAACCGTGCAAATTTCGCGGTTTCGAAGTGACGCGGAGCACTTTTTTCAGGGTCATTTTGTGCCATTCTTGTTTTGAATTTTCAATAAATTCTTCTTTCTTAAAATTTATAAAAAGTGGCAAACCGGACAAAGTGTGAGAAAATAGAAAATATTATTTGAAATTTCAAAGTTCGAACAATTTTTGAATCCACAATTTTCAGCGTTCAAACCAGAGAGGAGGCTCGTCGTGACTTCTTCCAGGCCGTCTGAAATTGTTGAAAATTTGAAAAAATCTGAAAAATCGATTTTGGATTTTTCAAACAATTCTACCGTTTCCCCCCCCCCCCCCCGCTTTTGTTTGCCTTCTTGCTCTGAAATCCTGAATTTTTGGATTTTTTTTTTGGAAATTTACAAAATTCGGATTTTTGACACATACCGTAAAACGTGTACTAGAAAAGACCCTGTAATAGAAGGGCCCTCCCGAAGAGGCTTAGAAAAATTGAAGGGTCGACCCTTCTAATACAGGTTTTTCGGTATTCCAGCTTTTTTGCTTTCATCGCTTCTTATCTGAAAATTCTGCGTTTTTTTTCAAATTTCAAAATTTAAATACCCAAAAAATATTGATTTTTTTTACCAATGTTTGTTCTGAAAACATTTTTTTGCACCCAAAAATCAGACAATATTTCAGCTTACAACTTTCAGCTTAACCCCCAAAATCCTCAGATTTTTTTCACGGATTCTCAGATTTTGAGTTTTTACAATTTTTGAAAATTCCAGAAATTCAGAAATCCAAAATTTCGGGTAATTCAGAAATTCAGAAATTCTGAAATTCGGAAATCCAGAGATTCAGAAACCCAGAAATTCAGAAATCCAGAAATCCAGAAATTCAGAAAATTCGGAAGTTCAGAAATTCAGAAATTCAGAAATTCAGAGATTCTGAAAATCAGAAAATCCAGAAATTCTCAAATTCAGAGATTCTGAAAAACGGAAATTCGGAAATTC